CTCCCTTACGTACCCTGTAGAGGTGCCTGGACTGGAGTGACGTCACATTCTGGCTCCCGGCACCTCTTCAGGGAGTGCAAGGGAGCTGTACAAGCAATGCACATATGGATGGATCTCCGTCACAGCACAGCACCCCACACTGGACCCCAGGCTGAGGATCCACTCCAGTTCTTGTAAGGTAGGGAGACTGGGTGGACCTACCCTGTGTTTTGGTGTGGGAGGTGTGTTGTGTTGCCATTCATTTGAATGGCACTCCAAACCACCCACAGTTTGATTGCCCGCACCGGAATGCACGGTACCGCAATGCTGTGCATTCCATTGCAGTGCGACTTGGGCCACGACTTAATTAGCAAGGACAAATGTGGGTCCTGATGTTACACAGGTTGAGAACCACTGATCTACAAGTACACCCAGTACATCATCAGAGGAGAGGAAGAGAAGGAAGCATAAAGAAGGAGAAAGCCTTACATTATAAGCAAGTTCTTAAAGTGGAAGTGGAGGAGAGCCAGGAGTCCCACACGCGATCAAAGAATTGGGGTTTGCCTCATTTTTCATAATTGATTTCATAGACCGGTGGGATGTCATCAAAAAGCCGTTTCCAATCCGTCCATTGTAGCAGGCAAGGGTGATTTCCGTAGCAGGAATATACATTTTTTAGCATAAAAAAATAAAATCCTAAAGAGGTGTTTATTATAAAAAACTAGGGGCAAATCCTCCATCAGCTTAAGTAGGCGCACAGAAGGGTGACAAATATTGGGGAAGCCCAAAGCAGATTCTATTGGTTGCTGGCTTTAATGGCCTGGCTGTTGAAACCCAGGTGTTAAAGGAGAATTATGAGGTGAGTGCTTTTCACTCAGCCTCATAATCTGAGCCGACCTGTGACAATGAGACTGTCACAGGTTGGCTCAGTAGATCAGGAAGGGAGCCAACACATACCGGCGCTCGCTCACTTCTCGATCTATCCCTGCAGAGAGCCGTGACAGGGGTGTGACTGGATTCTCCCCTTCCCCTGTCCGATCCTCCAGCGCTGACTGGCGGAACGGACGGGGGAGGGGGCAGCTGGCTCAGCCTCTAGATAGGCAGAGCCCGCTGTCACTCACGCAGCTGGGCGGATCCAGACATAATTGTCGGGATCCATTTCAGCTGCGGCGTCTCAGTATACCGCGAGCTGAGCTTTGGGTATCGGGAGGACGCTGGTTTGTGCCCTCCCGTTACCCTTCGGAGGACTATGCGGAAAAGCCCTAACGCCATAGTTCTCCTTTAAAAGACAGATGAATTTCTGATTCTGTTATTCCAACTATGCTTTAAAGGCTGGTAGTTCTGCTCGTAAAATTTTTCAGCATACATTGAAGGTCTATTTTCATTGGTGTGAATCCTTGGGGTTTTCCCCTCTGGCTTTTTCTACAAAATTTGTCTTTCCTTTAACTGGGAGTTGATCAAGGTTTAGCTCTCAGTACCATTAGGGGGCAGATATCTGCCTTACCTCTCCGTTTTCAATGTCCTCTTGCTGCTCATTCCTTGCTTTGTACTTTATTTCAGGAGGTTGAGCGCGTGGTTCCTCCTTTTAAGTCTCCTCTTCCTCAATTGGACTTGCATTTTTTTTGTCTGTTTTGCAAAAACCTCCTTTTGAACATATTCAGGATATTTCTTTATTGTTGTTGTAGTTTGAAAATGTTGCCTATCTTGTGGCCATTACCTCAGCTAGAAGTGTTTCTGAGTTGTCTGCCTTGTCTTGTAGAAAACCCTATTTGGTTCTTCATAAGGACAAGGTGGTTTTGAGATCACAGGTTTCCTTTTTACCCAAGGTGGTTTCAGTCTTTCATATCAATGAAGACACTGTTTTACCTTTACTTTGTCCTGCTCCTGTTCATACTAAGGAAATTTCTTTTTACTGTTTTGGATGTCAGCCATGGCTTCCTTTAGACATTCAGATTTTTTATTTGTTTTTCTGAAAGGTCCTAGAAAAAGTTGTTCAGCTTTTAGATCCACTATTTCTAAATGGATTCGTCAAGTTATCATTTCAAGCTTATACGTTGCGGCATAAGGTTCCTCCTTTTCTTGTTTCTGCTCATTCTACTGGGTCAATTAGTGCTGCTTGGGCATTTCAAAGCTTCTGTTACCCAGATTTGCACCAGCAATCTGGTCTTCTGTTCAAACTTTTGCAAAGTTTTATAAAGTTGATGTTTCTGCCTATCACGTACCTGACTGGAGACTCAGCTGAGAAGGGGGCTGCCCGTGCACCTCTCCTCCCAACCTTCTGGAAGTAGTGACAGGGGATGTAAGGACAGAGTGGAGCACAGGTGCCGATGCTGTGCTCCACTCTGGATGCTGGCCGGTTCTTGAGGAGGCGCTTGAGTGCGTTGGACCAGCTGGTGAATCGGCAGGACTGGGATGACACCGGGGCCTCTTGAAACCAGAGCAGGCAACAGGATACTGATAGAGCAAGTGGCTGACCAGGAGGGAAGTCAGGTTCAAGCTGAGGTCATACACAGGAAGCCGATTCTTGAGGTGCCGAATCATAGATCAGGAGCAGGGTCAGGAAACGTAAGCCAGGGTTTATATACGATATATTGTATATGTTTATGTACGATAGTGTGCACGCTATGGAGCGTGCACCTGTACGCTAACGAGCGCACTTCCACACGCTCACGTATGTGCGCTATTGCGCATAAACGTTCCTGTACGTGCGCTTTCACGTGCTAAAGCGCGTTTTCCAGGAACTTTAACCCCTTCGTGACTGACGACGTACAGTGTACGTCGCCAGCATCGGGGCTGTTTAAACAGACTCCCGGTGACTTTTGCCGCCGGGAGTCTGTTTAAACTTGTAGAGCCGACTGTCGGCTTTACAACAGAAGCGATCCTGGCGACTTACCTGTCGCCAGATCGCTTCTGCGTCCCGAAGAAGGGGCTGCCCCCCCCCGCCGGAC